TGGAAACTTCCCTATAAACATTACAGTGTGTGACAGAAAGAGACTGTACTGTAATATGTTGCACACTTTAAAATGTTTTCCTGCCAATATTTCGAATGAATGAAAACAGCTTCAGTTCATCCTGTTTCCTCAACGTCTCTGTCTTTCTTTGTCCATTTTCCATCCTAGTCTGGTCTTCGGGGCGGACAGGAACATGACTCTGCTCAGTGGACGTGGTTCATACGTGATCTACTGCGTTTCCTCCTGAAACGCTGCGAGAGCTGCGTCGTTAACATTCAGCTGCTCGCCCAGCATTGGGTATTACCGAACAACAACACTCTGTGTGAGAGACATCACAGCGGCAGCCTCAACACCTCCAAAGCAAACTTTATTTAACACCAGTGCAGAGACAGTAACGGGGCCATCACTGCGGCGGGCTCTGCTGCCAATGAACGAATGAAAGGATGAATAAACACAGTGAGCAGCTTCAGAGAGAGACGAGAGGAAGGAGGGAGAAACCACAGAGAGAGAGAGAGAGAGAGAGAGAGAGAGAGACATTTTCCTAATCAGGACCAGATGGTTTCATTCAGACTTACATACTTCAGAGCGAGGGAGGGCGGGCAAGCATTAGAAACACAGACGACAGAGAGAGAGAGAAGGGAAGAAAGAGAGATGAAAAGAGAGGAAGAGTTGGTAAAAGAAGACGAGTGCGGCTCCACCCAGGCGCTCTGCCAGCTGACTGTGTGTGTGTGTGTGTGTGTGTGTGTGTGTGTGTGTGTGTGTGTGTGTGTGTGATTGGCTGGTAATAGATTACAGTGGTGAGCAGAGGTCTAATCCGGCCCACCAGCACTTCAGCTAAATGCTATCGCCTCTCCACGGACACTCCTCCTTCCTGCGTCTTTCTTCTTCTTCTTTCTTCTTCTTCTTCTTCTTCTTCACACAACTTCTTCTCTGTGTGCAGCCAGAGTCCTGCACCGAGTCGGAGATCTCTGGGTAACCAAACATCTTCCTAGTGGACCAGCAGTGGTTAGATAGAGCCAGCAGTGGTCCTGATATGTGAACAGGTCTGTGACTCTGATAAAAGATGTCGACTGAGACTCACAGACCATAAACTGTACGACAACCAGCCTCTGTGACGCCCCCACAGGTCTGTGAAGCTCAGTCAGGAATTCAATTTCGCTTTAAACGTTTCAGTCAAACTCTTCAGTTTATAAAGAAAGGAATAATAATTAAAGACAACTGACCTTTTTTTAAGGCTCAAAAACCAAAATACTTATACTAATAATGATAATAGTAATAATATTAAAAACAATAACAATAACAATAATAATAACACCATCTTGGCAGTCCTGACTCCGCCGGCACACGGCTGATCCAACAATGGTCAAAGAGGCGGAGCTAAATGAAGGCTGGTTACTGAAACACCCACTTGTCACTCAAAGTGACCACACCCTTAATTATTCCTAACTTTAATGAACTTAATATAATTTAAAGAGGGAATATAGAATATAATATGGAGCCTCTAGTGGCCGTTAGAGGAACTGCAAGTCGGCTGTCTCTCTCTCACCAACCCACCTCTCTGCGTCTCCATGGCAACCACCGGACGTGTCTCGACTAGCATACCTTCCCTCTGAGCAGCGAGAGGTCAGAGGTCACAACCGGCATTCAGGCACACACACGCGTGTACAATTAGTGTTGCTCTGAGGTCACAGTAACCACGGCAACAGCAACACCCCGAAATACGTGTGTGAGTGTGTGTGACATTTCATCCTGACACTCATTTCCTGTCTGCAAACAGCTGCTCGTTCAAACTTAAACAGCTTTATGACACACGGACACACTGTGTGTGTGTGTGTGTGTGTGTGTGTGTGTTTGTGTTTTTGTGTGTGTGTGTGTGTGTGTGTGTGTGTGATTTTCAAGATAAAAGCTTGAGTTGAATCTTCAGACTGCTTTTTTATCCAACCAACAGTTTGATATTAACATAATATTCAGTTTCATATAATATGAAACTATAATCTGCACTTATAAATTAATCAATAGCAGCATTAATAACATCATGTTTAATCAGAAAAGTTCTTTAAAAAGATAACGATCCTGATCAGTAATCAATACTCCCATTATAAAGCATCAATCAACCTGATCAGCCTTCAGCAGTTAGCTAGTGTTTCTGTAGTGGAGACTAAACGTTAACAATGATCCATATCAGCAGTTTGAATCCAACTAAAAGCTCCCTGCACCAAACTCCCTTTAAGAAATATCACATTTTAACAATTCCTCACGTGTTCGTAACAACACGTAACTCTAGAAACACGAGCTAAAGTCCGTCATATGTCCACAGTCTGACTGTCAATACAGGATCAATATCATCCATAAAGATACAGTGTATACTGATCAATATCATCCATAAAGATACAGTGTATACTGATCAATGATCCATAAAGATACAGTGTACACTGATCAATAATCAATAAAGATACAGTGTATAGTACTATATTACTGTATATACTGTGGTTCCGTTGTGTACTTTTTGTCTTGACTGTGGTTAGTGTTGAGTGTTTAAAGGGTTAATGATCCTCACAGTGCGACAACTTTTAGGAGAGGACTTGTAGTTATTGATCAGGAGACTGGAGACAATCAATAGCTGCACATTATGATTAATTACTGCTGCTGTACACACACACACACACACACACAGGGTTGGTATGTGGTGGAAACATTCATCTGTGTGTCTGTCTGTATCAGTATTATCAGTAGTATCAGTAGTATCAGTACCGTCAGTAGTATCAGTACTATCAGTAGTATCAGTACCATCAGTACCATCAGTAGTATCAGTACCATCAGTACCATCAGTACTATCAGTAGTATCAGTACCATCAGTACCATCAGTAGTATCAGTACCATCAGTACCATCAGTAGTATCAGTATTATCAGTACCATCAGTACCATCAGTACCATCAGTACTATCAGTAGTATCAGTACCATCAGTACCATCAGTACCATCAGTATTATCAATATTATCAGTACCATCAGTACCATCAGTGTTATCAGTACCATCAGTAGTATCAGTACCATCAGTACCATCAGTAGTATCAGTATTATCAGTACCATCAGTATTATCAGTATTATCAGTACCATCAGTACCATCAGTACCATCAGTATTATCAATATTATCAGTACCATCAGTACCATCAGTACCATCAGTAGTATCAGTACCATCAGTACCATCAGTATTATCAGTACCATCAGTAGTATCAGTGCTACAGACTCATCTACAGTTCAGTGTCGGGCGATCAAGAGGCTGAGATTGCTTTTCTGTGTGTTTTCCTTTGAGAGAGAGAATTTGTGTGTGTGTGTGTGTGTGTGTGTGTGTGTGTGTGTGTTCAGTTTATTATATAGATGCAAATTCATAGAAGCAGATTAAACAGATTGTGTCTCGTATCTGTTGATGAGCTAACACTGTCCTGAGGGATGTGTGTGTGTGTGTGTGTGTGTGTGTGTGTGTTTAATGTGCCTTCTGTTACAAAGAAAGAAAATGAACCTTGCAGCTATTTAATGTCAGAGCTTTGAGATGACAGCTACACACACACACACAGAGTTAGTGTGAAAGGAGGGATTTAGACGTCTTTGAGTCTCTGAGGAAGAGGAGGGTGTACGTCTATTATCTGTGTGTGTGTGTGTGTGTGTGTGTGTGTGTGTGACCAGCAGAGAGGATGCTGGGAAATGGTAATGAACTGGAACTGTCTCACTCTGAACAACATTATATGTTTACAAGCTGTTCTCTCTGTTCACAACCAGAGAATACAGAAAGTCTGTTGGTCCGTTATTACAGTGTACATGTTACCATAGTAACCAGTGCCTGTAAATGCTACTGTAGTAACAAGCGCCTGTAAATGTTACCGTAGTAACAACCTTCTGTAAATGTTACCTTAGTAACCAGTGCCTGTAAATGTTACCTTAGTAACCAGTGCCTGTAAATGCTACCGTAGTAACAAGATTCTGTAAATGTTACCGTAGTAACAAGCGTCTGTAAATGTTACCTTAGTAACCAGTGCCTGTAAATGCTACCGTAGTAACAAGCATCTGTAAATGTTACCTTAGCAACCAGTGCCTGTAAATGCTACCGTAGTAACAAGCGCCTGTAAATGTTACCGTAGTAACAACCTTCTGTTAATGTTACCGTAGTAACAAGCGTCTGTAAATGTTACCGTAGTAACAAGCGTCTGTAAATGTTACCTTAGTAACCAGTGCCTGTAAATGCTACCATAGTAACAAGCTTCTGTAAATGTTACTGTAGTAACAAACGTAAGGGGCGCCCGGTTAGCTCAGTGGGTAGAGCTAGCGACCCATGTACCAAGGCTGAGTCCTGAGGGTTCGAATCTGACCTGCACTTTGCTGCGTGTCATCCCCTCTCTCTGTCCCCCTTTCCTGTCTGCTTTCAGCTGTCACTGTCATAAAGGCAATAAAAGTCCCCCCCCAAAAAAGGGTCTGTAAATGTTACCGTAAATGTCACCGTAGTAACAAGCGTCTGTAAATGTCACCATAGTAACAAGCATCTGTAACAAGCGTCTGTAAATGTCACTGTAGTAAGAAGCGTCTGTAAATGTCACCGTAGTAACAAGCATCTGTAACAAGCGTCTGTAAATGTCACCGTAGTAACAAGCATCTGTAACAAGCGTCTGTAAATGTCACCGTAGTAACAAGCATCTGTAACAAGCGTCTGTAAATGTCACCGTAGTAACAAGCATCTGTAACAAGCGTCTGTAAATGTCACTGTAGTAAGAAGCGTCTGTAAATGTCACCGTAGTAACAGACACTGGACAATAGCTCATGGACACAATGAGTTTGATGGCGGGGAACCTCTGGGGCTGTTAGGTAACAGTGTTGGTTTTTAAGTAGACGTACTTTTGAGAAAGGATTTGTAATTCGTGTTTGAAATGTCTCTCTGTCACTGTCTGTCTCTTCCTGTCTGTCTCTCTGAGGCATGAGCAAAATAACTGAGCACCTTTCTGTCTGTCTTTCAGCCTGTCTGTCTGGTCAGTCACCAGACTGCACTCTGGTCCAGTCCAAAGAGGATGACTTCGATTGGGAACAAGGAGACACCCGGGACCGACCGTCCAGCAACCCCTGGATCCCTGCAGGTCTGTCCATCTGTCTCTCTGCTTCTCTGACTACCTGTCTGTCTGTCTGTCCAGCTGTCTGTTGTAAGCACACGCAGGATTGTTCATTCTTGCAGGAGGTGTTCCTCAGGGAACCTTTGTGGGTTCTGTGAAGTTAAAATCTTTATTCAATTTAAAGTTGTGACTGCTGGTGCGTTTACTGTCATTCAGTTAAACAGAAAATTAATGTGTGACTCTCAAAAGATAATCCAGCAGTTACGGAGCAACATGAGGATCCCTTCATGGCAGCAGAAGTACAGAAAATGTTTCCCACATAGCCCTAATTCCCCTCCGTACAGACTGAAAACTGAAGTAGATGATGCTAACATGTTAGCTAAAATTTCTACATCCTGCAGTTATTGAGCAACATGAAGTCCAGTGTTGTCTCTCTTTTAGCTCTGTGTTTGGAGGGAAATATCTGTGTCTTCCAGTGGTCGACTGATGGCTGATATTTAATGCTGATATATTTCCATTATTGCATTCATATTACAGTCTAATATACATGTTTATTAAATATAAAATAACATTAGGTTATGCTGCAGATTTCAGAATGTGCATTATAACATATACAATATATATACACACCTATACATACACCCACATGATCCGTGTGTCTTCAAATCCCACAAGAGCATTTCAGAGGCGGAGTGTCTTCAGAGCGTGTTGCCTGCGTGACGTTGTTGTTGTAGCTGTTGGTGTTTACTTGTGTACTGTGTCAGTAAAAAGGAAACCAAATGGTGTTTCTGTTTTAAAATCTCCTCTAATTGACTGACTTCCTGTCAGTGTGATCTGCTCTGTGCTGGTTGACGTGAGGGGGTCGCAGCTTCCGTCCAAAAAAGACCAGCTGTGTATTCTACCTAGAGGCACTGCTGGGACGCTCTGCGGCGCTTCAGGTTTAATTAAGAGCATTGTCTAGAACGGGCGCCATCAGCTCCAGCGACTGTGGTCCCACCCTGAATGCGTCGCAGCAGTGTGCAGTGGATCTTGGGGGTCTTCGCCATCTTCCCAAAGCTGCAGGCTGCCTCACAGACGAGGCAGCCTGCAGATGTGTCATAGGCTGATGCCGATGATCTCGAAAAAGCCAGGCCATGGTCCCGATTCTCATTGGTTATCCACCAGCTGGCCTCTCACTGTGTGTCTGCTGTTTGCTGTACAGTGGCTTTATATGGCTTTTATTGTGAAAGGGAAGCTGAGAGTGAGCTGAAACTCACTCTAAAGCTTCAGCTGCCACTCATGTTGGGTTCATACACTGAAGCTATACAATACAGACGGAGGTGTTGAACAGAGTATGACGAACAATTGCTCCTTTAATGCAGCCTCTCAGTTGGACGGTTTGTTCCTGAAGGCAGCACGAGAGAGAAAAGGCTGCTGCAGCTTTTGTGTTATCGCCTATTGACCTGCCACAGTTTGTGCTCTGAGTTATAGACGGACAGAAACACTGAACCCGGAGAGATAGCAGCGAGTGTGTGAGTGTGTGTGTGAGCGTAACCCACTGACGAATGAGAATGCAGCGCTCTTAAATCACTGAGCCAATCACGTGAGAGACAGGCTGAGCGAGGACACACAGAGAGGAGGTGGTTACTGTCCTGTTTAACATGATTTATAGGAGGAGAGGAGGAGAGAGGGGGGAGGTGGAGAGGAGAGAGAGGAGTTTGTCACCTCCTTTCTTTTCAATAAAGAGGAGCTTTGTGTGTGTGACTAATTGCAGCCAATCAGACACACACACTTGCTCCTCCTCTTCCTCCTCCTCTTCCTCCTCTCTGTGGTCGATCTCCTCCCGGCTGATATGTGGAGCAGGGAGCAGGGCAAGGCAGGGCATTAAATCTAACTAACCCTCCACCACGAGCGGGAGAGCGAGGTGGAGGCAGATAGGGAGAGAGAGAGAGAGAGAGAGAGAGAGAGAGAGACAGATGGAGCAGGACTGCAGCTGGTGATACTCTGTGTGTGTACTAGTACTACAGTACTACTACAGTACTACATTATAACTACAGTACTACAGTACTACATTATAACTGCAGTACTACAGTACTACAGTACTACATTATAACTACAGTACTACAGTACTACATTATAACTACAGTACTACATTATAACTGCAGTACTACAGTACTACAGTACTACATTATAACTACAGTACTACAGTACTACATTATAACTACAGTACTACATTATAACAACAGTACTACAGTACTACAGTACTACATTATAACTACAGTACTACTACAGTACTACATTATAACTACAGTACTACAGTACTACAGTACTACATTATAACTGCAGTACTACAGTACTACAGTACTACATTATAACTGCAGTACTACAGTACTACAGTACTACATTATAACTACAGTACTACAGTACTACATTATAACTACAGTACTACATTATAACTGCAGTACTACAGTACTACAGTACTACATTATAACTACAGTACTACAGTACTACATTATAACTACAGTACTACATTATAACAACAGTACTACAGTACTACAGTACTACATTATAACTACAGTACTACTACAGTACTACATTATAACTACAGTACTACAGTACTACAGTACTACATTATAACTGCAGTACTACAGTACTACAGTACTACATTATAACTGCAGTACTACAGTACTACAGTACTACATTATAACTACAGTACTACAGTACTACATTATAACTACAGTACTACATTATAACTGCAGTACTACAGTACTACAGTACTACATTATAACTACAGTACTACATTATAACTACAGTACTACAGTACTACAGTACTACATTATAACTACAGTACTACAGTACTACATTATAACTACAGTACTACAGTACTACTACAGTACTACATCATAACTACAGTACTACAGTACTACATTATAACTACAGTACTACATTATAACTACAGTACTACATTATAACTCCAGTACTACAGTACTACAGTACTACATTATAACTACAGTACTACAGTACTACATTATAACTACAGTACTACATTATAACTACAGTACTACAGTACTACTACAGTACTACATTATAACTACAGTACTACAGTACTACTACAGTACTACAGTACTACTACAGTACTACATTATAACTACAGTACTACTACAGTACTACAGTACTACTACAGTACTACATTATAACTACAGTACTACAGTACTACAGTACTACTACAGTACTACATTATAACTACAGTACTACAGTACTACATTATAACTACAGTACTACTACAGTACTACATTATAACTACAGTACTACAGTACTACATTATAACTACAGTACTACAGTACTACATTATAACTACAGTACTACAGTACTACAGTACTACTACAGTACTACATTATAACTACAGTACTACAGTACTACTACAGTACTACAGTACTACATTATAACTACAGTACTACAGTACTACATTATAACTACAGTACTACTACAGTACTACATTATAACTACAGTACTACAGTACTACAGTACTACTACAGTACTACATTATAACTACAGTACTACAGTACTACATTATAACTACAGTACTACTACAGTACTACATTATAACTACAGTACTACAGTACTACATTATAACTACAGTACTACATTATAACTACAGTACTACAGTACTACAGTACTACTACAGTACTACAGTACTACTACAGTACTACATCATAACTACAGTACTACAGTACTACATTATAACTACAGTACTACAGTACTGCTACAGTACTACATTATAACTACAGTACTACAGTACTACTACAGTACTACAGTACTACAGTACTACATTATAACTACAGGGCTACTACAGTACTACATTATAACTACAGTAATACAGTACTACTACAGTACTACAGTACTACATTATAACTACAGTACTACTACAGTACTACATTATAACTACAGTACTACAGTACTACTACAGTACTACATTATAACTATAGTACTACAGTACTACATTATAACTACAGTACTACTACAGTACTACATTATAACTACAGTACTACAGTACTACATTATAACTACAGTACTGCATCATAACTACAGTACTACAGTACTACATTATAACGACAGTACTACAGTACTACATTATAACTACAGTACTACAGTACTACTACAGTACTACATTATAACTACAGTACTACATTACTACATTATAACTACAGTACTACAGTAATACAGTACTACATTATAACTACAGTACTACAGTACTACAGTACTATATTATATCTACAGTACTACATTATAACTACAGTACTACAGTACTACTAGAGTACTACATTATAACTACAGTACTACAGTACTACTACAGTACTACAGTACTACTGACAGTACTACATTATAACTACAGTACTACAGTACTACATTATAACTACAGTACTACATTATTACTAGCTTAGCTAGTTAGCTAATTAAAAAGCATTTTGCTAGCATAAGCTATCAGATGTGAGCTAACTAGTGTAGAAATGAGATACAGCGCCCACTATAGTGCTAACCCTGACCAACCTTAAAGAGCTGGTGGTCTGTCAGCCAGTCAGTACACAGCAGGGTAATTTCCAGGGTAGTATGTAGGGGGCGCTAGCAGGGCCTCATAATGTGCATCTGCTTTACTTCATTCACTTTGAAACAGACACACTTCTTAATGTGTTCTCACTCTGGGAAAGAACAAAGTCTGAGCTGCTGCAGCTGCTGTTCTCTGCTGGAACCTGGTTTAATACTGCACACACACACACAGACACACACACCCACACACGCACACACACACACACACACACACACACACACACACACACAGACACACACACACACAGACACACAGACACACACACAGACACACACACACACACAGACACACAGACACACACACACACACACACACACACCCAGACACACAGACACACAGACACACACACACACACACACACAGACACACACACACGCACACACACACAGACACGCACACACACACACACACACACACACACACACACACACACACACACACA